GGTATCACTGGGAGGAATTGACCTCCAGGCCAATTGGCTGTGAGGACCAGTTGTGTCTACAATGGGAGAACTTCTGTGCTGGAGGCACCCTTATGGGGCAGGACTTGCTTCAGTGGGGCTTTGGCGTTCACTGAGTCTGCCCAGTTTTTTAGGCGGAGAAAGGCCAAGCCATTCATATGCAAAAGCCTCTGCGCACAGCTTGGGTGGGGTTGTAAATTGGGTGGGGCGAGGTCTCAGGGAATCACAAGGGTGGAGCAAACTGCAATGGCTGCCAGTCTGCTATGCCTCGGAGAGGTCCCGGGGTCTGTGTCCCACACCCCGTGCAGGAATGACTGCTGCCCTCACATTCTGGCCCAATGCCAGACAGTCCAGTTTCTCTCCGTATGAGTCTGGGTCCCCAAATTCTCACCCGGAACTGGAGTTCAGAGCAGTCGGGAGCTTGTATCTCCCTCCCGATTGAAAAAGACAACAGCTGCCAGCCCCTTTCACGCATGCCTGCCTCCGTACCTCCGCACTTCCACACCTCTGCATCTCCTGCCAGACTCAATGAACTTTTCTCTTTCCTTCTAGTTGTAGAATTTCCACTCAACCAGCCTTCCCGTGGTTCTGGCTGATATTCGTTTTGTCTTTTAGTTGTAGCTTTAATGTGGTTATGCGCGGCAGCAAATTCAGGTGTTTACCTATGCCACCATCTTGGTTGTTCCCCCTTTATCCATTTTGAGTTCATTTTTGTGTCTGCTGTAAGTTGGTGGTCTAGTTTCTTTTTTTTTTGCATGTTTCTGTCCAATTTTCCCAACACCATTTATTGAAGAGACTGTCTTGACTCCATTATATGCTCTTGCCTCCTTTGTCAAATATTAACTGAGCATAATGGCTTGGATCAATTTTTGGGTTCTCTGTTCTGTTACATTGGTATATATGTCTGTTTCTGGTCGATATGTCTGTTCTTGTGCCAGTACCAGGCAGTTTGGAGGACAGTGGTTTTGTAGTATAGCTTGATATCTGGCATTGTGATTCTTCCAATTTTTTCTTCTTTTCAAGATTGCTGCAGCTATTCGGGGTCTTTTTTTGTTCCAGATGAATTTTTGGAGAATTTGTTCTAGGTCTTTGAAGTATGCCATTGGTATTTTAATGGGGATTGCATTGAATCTGTAGATTGCATTGAGTAGTATGGACATTTTAATGATGTTGATTCTACCAATCCATGAACACAATACATTCTTCCATTTGTTTATGTCATCTTTTATCTCTTTTTTTCAGCATCCTGTAGTTTTCTGAATACAGGTCCTTTACCTTCTTGGTTAAATTTATTCCTAGGTATCTTAATTTTTTTGTTGCAATGGTAAATGGGATTTTTTTTTTTTTTAGTTTCTCTGTCTGTGAGGTCATTATTGGTGGATAAAAAAAGCCATAGATTTCTGGGTGTTAATTTTGTATCCTGCTACATTGCCAAATTCATTTATTAATTCTAGTAGTTTTTTGATGGAGTCTTTAGGGTTTTCTATGTATAATATCATGTCATCTGCGAATAATGACAATTTTACTTCTTCTTTTCCAATTTGGATGCCTTTTATTTCTTCTTCTTATCCGATCGCTATGGCTAGCATTTTCAGTACTATGTCGAACAGTAGTGGTAAAAGTGGGCATCCCTGTCTTGTTCCTGTTTTTAGGGGAAATGGTGTTAATTTTTGTCCATTGAGTATGATGTTGGCTGTGGGCCTGTCATATATGGCTTTTATTATGTTGAGGTATGATCCTTCTACTCCCACCTTGCTGAGAGTTTTTATCAAAAATGGGTGTTGGATTTTGTCAAATGCTTTTTCTGCATCAATTGATATGACCATGTGGTTTTTTTCTTTCAATTTGTTTATGTGATGTATCACGTTTATTGATTTGCGGATATTGTACCATCCTTGCATCCCTGGAATAAATCCTACTTGGTCATGGTGTATGATCTTTCTGATGTACTGCTGGATCCGATTTGCTAAGATTTTGTTGAGGATTTTGGCATCTATGTTCATGAGGGATATTGGCCTGTAATTCTCTTTCATTGTGTTGTCTTTACCTGGTTTTGGTATTAGGGTGATGCTGGCTTCATAGAATGAGCTTGGAAGTGTTCCTTCCTCTTGAATTTTTTGTAGTAGTCTGAGGAGGATAGGTTTTAGTTCTTCCTTGAATGTTTGGTAAAACTCCCCTGTGAAGCCATCTGGTCCTGGGCTTTTGTTTGCTGGAAGCTTTTTGATGACTGCTTCAATTTCTTCCATAGTTATTGGCCTATTGAGATTTTTAGATTCTTCCTGATTAAGTTTTGGAATGTTGTATTTTTCTAGGAATTTGTCCATTTCCTCCAGGTTGTCTAGTTTGTTGGAGTAGAGTTGTTCATAGTATTTTTTAACAATCATTTGTATTTCTGTGGGGTCTGTTGTTATTTCGCCTCTATCATTTCTGATTTGGTTTATTTGGGTCCTCTCTCTTTGCTTCTTGGTGAGCCTGGCTAGAGGTTTGTCAATCTTGTTTATCCTTTCAAAGAACCAGCTCTTGGTTTCATTGATTTTCTGTATTGTTTTTTTGGTCTCTATGTCATTTATTTCTGCTCTAATCTTTATTATCTCCTTCCTTCTGCTCACTCTGGGCTTTTCTTGTTGCTCTCTTTCTAATTCTTTGAGCTGTAGATTTAGATGATTTACTACCATTTTTTCTTGTTTGTTGAGGTAGGCCTGTAGAGCTATAAACTTCCCTCTCAGGACTGCTTTCATTGTGTCCCAAAGGTTTTGGATTGTTGTGTTTTCATTGTCATTAGTTTCCAGGATGTTTTTAATTTCTTCTTTGATCTCATTGGTAACCCAATCAATATTTAATAACATGCTATTCAGCTTCCAAGTGTTTGAGTATTTTGGGTTGTTTTTATTGTAGTTTATTTCTAATATTATGCCATCATGGTCTGAGAAGATGCTTTTTATGATTTCAATCTTCTTGAATTTGGGGAGACTTTGCTTGTGACCCAATATGTGGTCTATTTTTGAATATGTCCCATGAGCACCTGAGAGGAATGTATATTCCATGGCTTTGGGGTGAAGTGTTCTGAAGATGTCAATTAAGTCCATCTGATCTAGTGAGTCATTTAGGATTGCTGTTTCTTTGCTGAGTTTTTGTCTAGCGGATTTATCCAGTGATGTCAGTGGTGTATTAAAGTCCCCTACTATGATTGTATTGTTGTCGATCTCTCCCCTGATATCTTCCAGGAGTGAGCTTGGAAGTGTGCCTTTCTCTTGAATTTTTTGGAATAGTCGGAGAAGGATATGTTTTAGTTCTTTGAATGTTTGGTAAAACTCCTCCATGAAGCCATCTGGTCCTGGGCTTTTGTTTGCTGGGATTTTTTTGATGACTGCTTCCATATCTTCCTTAGTTATCAGCCTGTTGAGATTTTTTTATTCTTGAGTTTTGGAAGGTTGTATTTTTCTAGGATTATGTCATTGGTGGATAAAAAAAGCCATAGATTTCTGGGTGTTAATTTTGTATCCTGCTACATTGCCAAATTCATTTATTAATTCTAGTAGTTTTTTGATGGAGTCTTTAGGGTTTTCTATGTATAATATCATGTCATCTGCGAATAATGACAATTTTACTTCTTCTTTTCCAATTTGGATGCCTTTTATTTCTTCTTCTTATCCGATCGCTATGGCTAGCATTTTCAGTACTATGTCGAACAGTAGTGGTAAAAGTGGGCATCCCTGTCTTGTTCCTGTTTTTAGGGGAAATGGTGTTAATTTTTGTCCATTGAGTATGATGTTGGCTGTGGGCCTGTCATATATGGCTTTTATTATGTTGAGGTATGATCCTTCTACTCCCACCTTGCTGAGAGTTTTTATCAAAAATGGGTGTTGGATTTTGTCAAATGCTTTTTCTGCATCAATTGATATGACCATTTGGTTTTTTCCTTTCAATTTGTTTATGTGATGTATCACGTTTATTGATTTGCGGATATTGTACCATCCTTGCATCCCCGGAATAAATCCCACTTGGTCATGGTGTATGATCTTTCTAATGTAATGCTGGATCTGATTTGCTAGAATTTTATTGAGGATTTTAGCATCTATGTTCATCAGGGATATTGGCCTGTAATTCTCTTCCTTTGTAGTGTCTTTATCTGGTTTTGGGATCAGGGTAATGCTGGCTTCATAGAAAGAGCTTGGAAGTGTGCCTTTCTCTTGAATTTTTTGGAATAGTCGGAGAAGGATATGTTTTAGTTCTTTGAATGTTTGGTAAAACTCCTCCATGAAGCCATCTGGTCCTGGGCTTTTGTTTGCTGGGATTTTTTTGATGACTGCTTCCATATCTTCCTTAGTTATCAGCCTGTTGAGATTTTTTTATTCTTGAGTTTTGGAAGGTTGTATTTTTCTAGGATTATGTCCATTTCCTCCAGGTTGTTTAGTTTGTTGGAATAGAGGTGTTCATAGTATTTTTTTTTTACAATCCCTTGTATTTCTGTGGGGTCTGTTGTTATTTCACCTCTTTCATTTCTGATTTTATTTGGGTCCTCTCTCTTTGCTTCTTGGTGAGCCTAGCTTAGAGTAGAGGTTCATCAATCAACCTTGTTTATCCTTTCAAAGAACCAGCTCTTGGTTTCATTGATCTTTTGTATTTTTTTTTTTGGTCTATGTCATTTATTTCTGCTCTGATCTTTATTATTTTTTTCCTTCTGCTCACTCTGGGCTTCATTTGTTGCTCTCTTTGTAATTCTTTAAGTTCTAGAGTTAAATAATTTATTACCATTTTTTCTTGTTTTTTGAGGTAGGCCTGTAGAACTATGAACTTCCCTCTCAGGACTGCTTTCACTGTGTCTCATAGGTTTTAGATTGCTGTGTTTTCATTGTCATTTGTTTCCAGAATTTTAATTTCTTCTTTGATCTCTTTGGTAACCCAGTCAGCCTCCAAGTGTTTGAAATTTTTTTTTAGTTTATTTATTTATTTTTTTAATTAAATCTTTATTGTTCAGATTATTACAGTTGTTCCTCTTTTTTCCCCCCATAGCTCCCCTCCACCC